ACTTTAACAATGAATTCTAAATCTTATTTTCAGCTATTAAAATAGTATCAATATCATATTTCAAATGATTAGTATTTCCACTCCCAGCTTTGATTCCAACTATCGACCTTTTTAATTTTTAAAAGGTCAATATATTTCTTAAAATATATAGTCATATATATTTTATATATATTTCTTAAAATATATAGTCACTGAACAAGTTAAGCAAAGATAAGCAAGTATATTTCTCACTCCCTTCCTTAATCTAAACCAAAGGCAACTGCAGCAGGAGCAATGGGGGCCAAACTGATATCAGCAATGTTGTGCTTTTGCTGTGCTGCTCCATTTCTATGTGTGCTGTGACATTGAATATACACCTCAAGGGGCAGTGCTTTTCACAAAAGCAGTGATTTCCTTTTGGTACTTCTGTTCTGAACAACTATGCTTCTCCAAATTCAGTTTTTTTCCTCAATAGTGTCTTGTTCATGGAAAGAAATCATCGGGGGCTCAGGTATACACATAAACCTTAATATGTCTCCTATTCTGGCATAATTTATGTCAAAGGCCTTTGTGGTTCAGGTAAAAATAATTCTTTCTCATATTCTCTTTCTCTCTTTAGCATTCATCTTATAGAAGCTCATCACTTTAGTAAGTTCTCACTTGGAATATTGCATAGAGTTTTGGTCGCTACAGTATAAAAAAGATGGAGACTCTGGAAAGAGTGCAGATAAGAACCAGAAAGATGATTAAGGGCCTGAAGACTAAAATGTATGAAGAAGGGTTGCAGAAATTGGGTATGTCCAGTTTAATGGGGAGGAAAGGCTAGGGGTGACATTATAGTAGTGTTCCCATATTTGAGAGGCTGCCACAAAGAACAGGGGGTCAAAGCATTTTCCAAAGCATCAGGAGACAAGAAAAGAAACAATGAATGGAAACTAATCAAGGGGAGAAGCATCTAGAAATAAGAAGAAATTTCCTAACAGTGAAAACAATTAATCAGTGGAAGGCTTACCTCCAGAATGTGTAGGTGCTCCATCACTGGAAGCTTTCAAAAAGGGATTGGACAACCATTTGTCTGAAATCATATAGGGTCTCCTGGTTGAGCAAGGGGTTGGACTAGATGATCTTCAATGTCCTTTCCAACTGTTATTCTGTTTCTGTTACCAATCTTGTGTCTACCTATTCTGTATCTTGATTGTCAATCTGATATACCCCTCTCCATGTAAAAAATAGTATAATTTTTTCATAATCTGAACTTTCTCATAAATCTCAGTATAAGTAAATACTGTGATTTTTTTCCCCTCCCTGAAGTCTAAGGCATAGAATCTTTTTCCCCTATTTATTGATATAAAGCTATTAGCACCATAGCTGCTTCTTGCCCATGACCTTTAAACAATTTAGGAGGCATTTCATTTGCTCTTGATGCTTTGCTATTTTACAACTGGGTTATTGACTATTATAACATTTTTAGTTGAGTCAGTCTGTGAATAAACTGTTTTTCTATAATTACTTCTGTCATTTTATAACCTATGTTTTAAATTAGTGTGTGTTTGTGTGTGTGTGTGTGCATATTCTATCTTCCAGTAGCCTCATACCAGACATTTTTCTGATTATATTCCCTATTTGTTGTTCTTCAAACAGACTTACTTTCTTCTCTTTTCTTCTTGGACAGTGATAATTGTATGTACTTTTCTTGTTACATAGAGCTTTCATGATAGCGTGTTCTCATAGTATCTTGGATCATTTCCTTTTTGGACTTTTTTTCTAGGAAAAAAAAAGACTATTTCATGATATCTCTTCTCTCTTCCTTTCTCCTCAAGTTCTCTTCTTAAGCCAAGCATTCCAAATCTGTTTCTCACATAATTAGATAAGCTCTTTCTTTTCAGATTCTCAAACAAGGTATTCTTTAAGAAGGAAGTCATTTTCTCATTTGGCCTTTCAGCATTTCTAACAATTTCTTATTTCCTAAGTGAACCAAAATTGAAATGCTCATTGCTAGACAAAGAATTCCAACTGCTTTTTTCCTTAATTCCATCTTAAATTCTTTACTCCTCTATCAATTCTGTTAGCCCACAGAGCTTGCAAGATGCAAAGTATTTTTTATTTGAAGGATCATTGCCCAAATTCAAGAATTTCTCAACTGTTTGAGACTGTTGTTCCATCTCTTTGTTGAAGATAATTTTCATGCAACTTTTAAATTTATGTGGGCAGTCTTCTTATTTCTTTGCTCATAATACTTTTTTTTAGAAAAGAGATTAATATATCTCTGATTACATATCACTGATATAAATATTAAGCAGAGCATCTCTATGTATAGTAAAACCAAAACTCCTAAGAGTACCAAATAGATTCTAAAGAAAGAAATTAAGTTTATTAAGAAAATATATGTGCTAACAGAAATCCTGGAAGAGGCTTGTTTTGATTTCAGAACAATCTGCTCATACTTAATTTGAAAGGCAATAAGAAGTATCACTTTTGTATGATTCTGCAAATGTGCAGCTTTGAAGACTTAATTCCTTTTATTTGTTTGCTTTCTGCAACTTCATGTTCACAACAACGGTAATATACTATAAATACAATTTCTGAATGTAATATCTTGCTCCAGTTGAGACAGCTGTAAATTCCTACAGATATATAGTTTTTTCTGCATTTGAGAAAGATCAAATGCGATCAACCTTTGGATCAAAATAACTGAAATAGGCTTCAGGATTTAAGATTCATGAAATTATGCAGGAAAACACTCATACATACAAATCACTGTTTTGCAAAAATAACATTTATGGGTATTTGCATGACTATCCTTTTATAGTAAGAATAATACACCTTGCTTATTATTTTACTGATAAATTAACTATGCAATTGTATAATTTATTATATATATTCCCTTCCTTGATCTATCTATATGCTCCACATTTGTTTTTTCTTAAGTTTTGCATATATTTGCTATTGAATGTTCAATCAATCAATTTTATTTGCCTTTCTCCAGCACAAAGGATAGGATAAACAATACAGAGCAAATCACAAAAGCATGAAATAATTCTATCACTTAAAAGATAGATAGATAGATAGATAGATAGATAGATAGATAGATAGATAGATAGATA